ATGAGCCCAACTTAGCCAAAGTATACACAAACACAGGGCACAACAACTTTTCTCTTCTTTGGGCATATGACTAGACCATTCTAGTCGCCCTGAACCTGTCTCTTATACACATCTAGATGTGTATAAGAGACAGCTCCCCCACCAATCAATCAATCAATCAATCAATTAATCAAAACAACCAATCAATCAATCAATCAATCAATCAATCAATCAATAAAAAAACAATCAATCAATCAGGTTTTTTTTTTTCAATTTTTTAATTTTTTTTTGTCACTCACCCAAAACCACCCCGCCAAATTTTCAATTTTCAATCAGGTGTGTGTGTGTGTGTGTGTCTGTGTGTGTGTGTGTGAGAGAGAGAGAGAGAGAGAGAGAGAGCGAGAGAGAGCAGACACGCTGGCACCTGAGACACAGTCACTCATGGACCAAGGGGGCAAAAAAGAAGAAAAGGAAGGGGAGAAGAAGAAGAAGACAGAGGGATAGGAGGAACGGAATTTTGACAGTAGGGGCCGGGGAAGGGGGTTGAGAGAGAGAGAGAGAGAGAGAGAGAGAGAGCACTGATCGCTGGCCTGAGGAGGTGGACATGGGGTAAAGTGGCCTAATGGGCTCGGGAATTCCCACGCCCAGTTGGTGAAACCGGCCTTGTCCAATAGGTGCCGTCAAATTTTTTGGAAGTTCCCCTCTCAAACTTTCAGGCTTGTGCTTCAATTTTCGGTGGACCACGAGTGTGGCCCAACGGGCCTGGCAACTCGAAAGGTGAACTTTTCTGCAGATATGATTTTCATTCTGCAATTTCCTTTTTTAGAAAACAACAGGCCAGTCAGGTTTTGAGTTTTAGAATGCACTTCAGGCGAAAGGCCTGAAATATTGAATGTATGCGGGCTAGGTTTGGGGTGCAGCAGGGTCACGTGGGGGTGTTTTATGTTCTTTTTTTTTTTTTTTTTTTTCCATATCAATTTAAGATAGCTTTCCAAAATAAAGCATAACGTACATAAAAAAAAAAGAGGGGGCTACTTGCGCAGCCGATAGGGCTAACCAGAATCTTAAAACTTTTTATTCTTCTATGTATGTGGGCAAAGAAGGGACAACCTTATTGCATACCACAAGGCTGACTTTCCTTGTTGTCTTTTCTTTGTCAATCATGAGTATCTGACAACGGCTTAAAGAGTCCTATTTTCCCTTCAGTGTTGAAGGAGGCCAGCCTTCCTTCCTTGGCCCAGGTCTTCTGAAATCCCACAAAATTCATCGTTTGGCCCTCTGTCACGGGTCCGATCGTTGATGGCGGACGCAGATGGGGCCGTGTCCGCGGCCGACCTGGTCCGCGCTGCAGACCGGGTTTTACCAGAATTTTCCTGAATTAAATAATAGGCTAAAATATATATATATCGTCAAATAGAGGGGTTGTAGGGAATTTTAAGCCCTACAACCCCTTCTCTTTTTTTTTGGAATCCAAGTTTGTTTTGGATTTTCAAAAAATCAAAAACTAAATTTGATTTAAAGAAAAATTTATATATATATATATCAAGAAAAGCTGGATTTTTTTTTTGGTCATATTTTATCATGAGATATATGGTCCCTGAGTTCACCTGTATTTTTTTAGAAATGAATTTCTGTTTTTTGCAGGGGTATGAGGTGTTTAAAAAAAATGCAGATGCAAAATTTGAAAAAAAAGAAAGAAAAAACTTCAAAAAAGGGGTTTGATTGATTGATTGATTGATTGATTGTGAGTATGTGTGTGTGTGTGTGTTTGTGTGTGTGTGTGTGTGTGTGTGTGTGTGTGTGTG